GTGAAATCAAGAGTATTATTAGGAAAAGACGGAAGGAAAGGTGGCAAAAACAATGGGATAAGGAGAAAAAAGGTCGGTGGTTTTACAGAATTCAAAGGAAAGTGGGAGAGATGAGAAGTGCAGGGAAAAACAGGAGAGATGAGATAGTAATATCAAGGATGAGATTTGGACACACAAGACTAAATAGTACACTTTTTAAAATGGGTAAACGTGATACGGGAAGGTGTGAATTTTGTGGACAAGAAGAAAAAGTGGAACATGTTATATTGTACTGTCAGAAATATGAGACTGAAAGAAGGATGCTAATGCAAAATTTAGACACAAACCCTCTATGTCCTCTCTGCTCGATCATTGTAAGGGACTGAGTTGATTTGGACCAGTGGTCTTGTGTTCGCGGCAGTCAGTGTAGTTCACTGTGTATGTGATGATCAGGTGTGTTAGCGCCTAGCCGCTAACGGCCACAGTGTGACGGACTCTCACCCGCCACAGCCACCAAACTCTGAATGTTTCTTATGTCTGTGTAAACCAAACAAGCACAGAGTGTGGGTTTCATTTGGAAAATCAGCTTTTCAAGGTAAGAAATCTACTTTTATGTATTCCATACTCCGAAGAAGCATTAGCAGGGACTATGCGGTTAAATTAGCCTAGCTCTGTCTAACGAAGCTAATGAGGCACTTTACGGCGCTTTTTAGTTTCATTTTACGGTATAAAGTAACTTCAATATGTAGACACACGTTTTATCGTGTATACGTTTAGAAGCGTCAATATTTGTTGTGTTGTGAGCTCATCTGTGTCGTGTTTGCTGTCTGGCTAAGCTAAATGCTAGCAGAGAGTTGACAACTACAAGCATTTACGATTCGCTGTTCATATCTCCCTTTTTCCTATGAAGGTCGAGATTTTATGGAAGTAAAGTGTTTAAAAATTAAACTTTCTCATGTGAATATCATATTTTAGCTTTGAAATGCATCGCTGGTTTGGTACTATTGCATTAATGTCAGTGATGCTTCACTGTTCACATGGTTTATGCTCAAAGAAAGCTGTTTTTTTTTCTCTTTAAAGAGCACAGGAATACTTTAAATGATTGTTTTCCTTTTAAGGAACCGAGATAACATTGGTGTGTGGTATTTCCTTCAGTGTTTATATTGTAACGCCCACTTATTTGGAGAGAGTACAGCAGGATCAGGGCTTTGTTGTAGTCAGTGGTGTAAACAGTGATTTTACAGGCACTTTCATGGTAAATGTCAGGGCATGTTACAGCGAAGTGCACAAAAGATCCTATATGTAAGGCATTACTTTGTGTTGAAAACATGCCACAGACTTTTTTCATAGGGTTTGATCAATTCCTTTGGCAAAGCATGATGTTAGTCTATTAGGCCACTGATCTTTACATTTAGACCAGGGGGCTGCAAAAGGATGCTGGGGGTCAATAGAAATGTTTACAGAAGAAGTGTTAAAAAAATGAATAAATACTGAAAATCAGTAGGTTATATAATAAAGGAGTAAGTAAATGAATGAATTATTTAAAAAAATAGATTAAAATAAATGAGTAAATAGATGAATAAATCAATACAGAACTGTGACGAATAGAAAACAATAATGTACAAATAATAAAAAAATTGCATTAAAATAAACGAATAAGCATTGGATTAAAATATATAAACATAAATGAGTAAATAAAAAAATTAAAATAGATGAGTAGCCTAAATAAATGAATAAATACAGTACTTTAATGAATAGTAAAAAGTAACAATGCAACTTAATAAAAACAAAATATTTAATGTTTTGTAAAAAAAGTATTCACAGTATAATCTGTATACAAGAAAATATATAAATGCCTTTTACATTTTTGGATGGATGTCGCTCACACAAGGATGATGATATTAGTGGCATTTAAAAGATTGAAAATCCCTGATTTAGACTAGTGAAAGTGGAGGGAAGTGCTTAAGTCAACAACAGCAGACTTTAATCTGCCTAATCAGCAGTTGCTGATTTCAACCGATAAGGTCTGTGAAAGGTGCAGGTCCTTGAATAGCTTTCTTCACTCCATTAGGAAATACATCTCCAACATGTCACAGTATGATAATTAATGTTCTTAAAGCAGCGAAAAGTTTTTGAGACAAATGCGCATGCATGGACAGGTCAAAGGCAGCAGAGATTAATTCATTGAGGGTGGAGTGTAAAAGCACGTGTGTGTGAGATGGATTAGTCCCATATGCAGATGTTGCAGGGTTGCAGATTGAATCCTCATGAGTAGGGTGAGTTTATGTTCATGCTTTCATTGCATTGTATTTATTTATTTTCCTGCAGTCCACATCTCAGTGCTCCACTAAAGTGACTTGGACTTTATCATAGGATGATGTTTGAATACAAATAGGCAGGCACAGCAAATTACAAATCACGTTGTCATTAAACAAGCAACTTGAATAATAAACTCATAAATAAATAAAATAGATTTTTTTTTCACATGATTTCATGGTGGATGGATTTCATGTTGACTTAATTATAACTGGATCAAACTGGGTTTCCATGCTTTTTCAGATGCTCCGAGATAAACAAGTAAGGTGTGGTTCAGTGCTCTTTGGAACTGGAATTATTAAATGCAAAGCCTTTGCTCCCTTGGAGTTGTCATTAGCGTGGTCAGATTGTTATACAGCTGTGCCATGCTTGTTCCATTTCTTAATTATTGATTTATAATAATTGCTTCTGATTTATAATTATAGTACTTCAAGGGATATCTAAGTTATTATTTTATCTATTGTCAGGTGACATTATAATGTTTTGATTAATCAGATGATCAGACCCCACTGTGATGTAAAACATGAAAAAGTCCAAGGGGTGAATACTTTGTATTATTACTGTAGTTTGTTCACTTACTCACACATCCCTGACCAAATGACCGCAAAGCATTCTGTGCACTGCTGTGGTGGACTGTGGGGGGCAATGTGACCATTCCCTGAACATAACCTGCCATTTTCATTTTTAGTCATCAAATACCTGCGTTTGAATGCAAGACAATTTGTCTGCTTTGTGAACCAATTTTGCACAAGGTCAGTCAACATATGCTCTGTGTTTGGCTCAAATATTTGACCCCCACTGACTCATGCACAGTTTCCCCTGTTTGCCATCTGCACTTTTGTGTGACTGACTCATTATTTATATATAAAAAGGAGCCACCTTTAGTAAAACTGATATATATTTGTGACCCTGGACCACAAAACCAGTCTTAAGTCGCTTGGGTATATTTTTAGCAATAGCCAAAAAACATTGTATGGGTCAAAATTATCGATAGGAGCAGTTTGTTGCTAGGTTTAGTGAACATTAAATGAAGAGTTGCTATTTCATGCATTGAAAATCTGAATTCTGACTAATTTACACAGTTGGATTCTCATGCTAAACATGACCAAAGTCTCAAAAAACTAGTTGGATGATGGAGTATTTGTTTATAGAATAGTATGGTGCTAAGTAGTGAATAAGTAGTGAATTATTCATTAGGATAATTATTCATTAGGACTGGAAAACACAATAATCCCGGGACGTCGGGCTAGCGATTTTGCGAGCCCTGTTGATCAATAATTTGTCACAGAATAACAAGTTTACAGTATGAGATGTTAGATTAGCAATCTGTATATTTTACATTATTTTAAATGGTTGATCTATGTAATCAACCCTCTACATTGCGAGTAAATCACTCGCATATGCGACTAAATCTTACTCTGGGCGACTAAATAATAGTGCTGTGTTCAAAATATCGATACGACAATGTATCGTCGCAGAGATTTGACGATACGAGTATTGATACAGCTGGCCCTGTATCGATATTGTGGCACGTGTGTAATCATGTGTGTGTGTGTGTGTACCTTAACCATAATTTGGGGACAAATTTGTACCCAAAAGTGAGCAAAACCTGACAAAATCGGCAAAAACCTCAATTTGTGGATGTCCTCATTTGTAAAACTGTTATAAAAATAAAGTAAACAAAGTTTTTTTTTACTTTTGAAATTGTAAAAATGCAGAATGTTTTCTGTGAGGGGTAGGGGTGGGTTTAGGTTAAAAAGTGTATAACTATCTGTATATAAAAACAATCGAAGTCTATGTAATGTCCCCATTTAGATAGCTAAGTAAACGTGTGTGTGTAAAATAGTATATCAGTCTGGCGAGTAAACAAAAAAATGTACTAGCCAATGGCGATTATATTGCCAAGGTGTGCGTAGAGGGTTGGTAATGCTGTGTTCTTTAATAATAGCAAAATCATTCAGTATTTTAATGACGATTTTCATTAAGAACTAGATAATGCTGAGAACAAGATAATTCTGATATAAATCAACTACAGTGTGTTGCTCACAAAAAGGCTTTAGAAAACTTTGAATATAGTGCACAAGTCATACTTTTGTAAAGCTTGAAAGTCCTTTGTCACTGTATGCTTGTATTTTATAGTTAAGAGCAGCATAAAGATTCTTTAAAATGCCTCCTTGTGTTCCATGAAAGAAAGACATATATATGGCTATATTTTTCCTGTATATATTTGGTGAAGTATCCCTTTAATGGAGAAGGCGGCTACAGAACTGAATCTAGTAAAACAGAAGTGGGTTTTTGTCAGTTAGGTGACGTGTTTTGACAGAAAGCTCAGGCCAGTGGATTCTCATTGAGGAATAATTTGCTGCATCTGGAGGGCTGTTGGGTGGAGGCTGAATTTTGGCGTCCGTTGCGTGTGTGCGCTTCTAAAGGTGGGACGTTGCATCACTGGAGGGTCTGTTGAGGACACAAAAGCAGCGTTGTGCCCTGGTCATGTGATGCCTGTTCGGAAAGCTCCGACCATGTGATCCTGCCTCACAGAATGCTGAGTCGAACTTACAAACGCTGCCTCACCCTTGAGATGTGAGCATGATAGAAAAAGACTGAGAAGGGAAAGATACAGAGCCATTAAAGAAGAAAGACGTAGAGAAACAGGTGTGGATGACAAAACAGGAAATGAAAGCAATAGAGTGCGACAACTCTACGGTGCAGACTGCGTGCAATTCTCTCATTCGGTCCTTACTCACTGTTTCCTTGATGGTGCTGTGGGGAAGGTGGCTGTCTTTTGTGGAGTCAGTTTGTTGGAATGTGAAGATTTTGCAAGGACAAGAAGCAATGGCTGAAGTGGACCAAGAATGTTTCCTAGGGAATTGGAATACGTCTTGGAATGGAAGGGGAACAATGTGGAATTGCACAGCTGTACCAGGAACAATAGGTTGGAAACGGATGAATTGCTGCTTGAATTTCCTTGATGCTATCTAATAACATAGCTTGTGCTGAATTGAAACATACCCTTCAAGTAATAGTACACTCATGAAGCGATTCAGCCAGAAAGTGATGATGAGTTATTGTAGGCTATATATATTTCTGTTTATTTAATGAGCTGAAAATACAAGACAAGTTGTTCTTTAGCAGCGGTTATGGAGAAAGCTCTAATGGGGAAGTTGAAACTTGTCATTTTGTGATTTGAGGATAACATGTTCCAGATGCATCTGTGAGGAAGGGTGTGTGTGTGTGTGTGTCACGTTGTTGCCACACCCCTATATGTCTCTGCACAGCCTT